CTCCCCGGACGCTGTAATGTCGGAGCTCCTTTGCTGTCAGAGTTGTGGCCGTTCGCGTCCGTCTCTGATCACTGGACGGCTGTGCAAGCTGATGCGCAAAGACCCGCTTCTGGCTTATGCTAAACTCCCGAACTTTCTGCTTCTTGGGATTTCAAAAGTAAGGCTGCAAGACTTGAGCCCTGAAGTTTACATAAGGCTCCAAAATCTTGCCAGTTCCAAAGCTTCAACAGCCCCAAACCGACCCAAAACGAACCAACATGGGCACTCAAAAGGCATGTATGGGAACATCTTTTGATCATCTTGGGCCCCTCCCATAGTTCCCATAGTGCCGAGTGCTGGGCTGAGACAGGCGTCCTCACAACGGGGACAGGACTGGAGATGGTTTGGGCGGAAGCCCTGCACCCTGTCCGTACTTCATCAGGGCTAAGGGGTGTCCTGAACCGGGCCCCAATGCTTGCAGATGTGGTTGCATGTCTTTCTCCCGATACTGCCAGGTGCGCCCTGAATTGCTGCGTACTTGCTATAGTGTACGGGCCCGCTTTTCTGGGTGTCTAACACGAAAGGTCCTTGATGAATAGCCCTAGACCCCAAACCAAGATGGATGGGTGCTACAAACCTCCGTGCCCAAAACAATGCCAGCATGGCAAACACTTGACCAATCGCATTCGATGCAGCCGAAAATGCAAGACCACAGTCTCTGAGTACTTCTTCGTCTAATTGGTAACAGCTCCATCTCCCCCGAGGACGCAGCGGAAAACGCTTTGCTGGAGGTAAGCATGCGCGCCTCTGCAGGCGTGTTTCCTACAATTGTGGTTTAGAGAGCCTGATTATCCGACCTTGAGCCCTACACCAGGGCTACTTAGTGAAGGAAGCTCGTGGACTTGGTGGCTCCAGTGCGTGCTGCTGAACAGTAATACAGCTGCTCAGCAGTCTCTTCATGAAGGGGAGAAACAAACTCACCAAGGGTTGGAGCCCGCTGGACGACACAAAAGAATTGCTATGCCCGGTGCTTCGCATGCTCCGATGGACGGGGTTCCTTGGCTGTCAAAAAGCCTCAAACATCTGGCTTCCATGTTCCTCTTTGACAGGACAAGTGACTGCTCCCAAGGGCAGCCAAGGAACGTCTGCGGCTGGAAGGTGGGTTCCTGAGCAGCAGGGCTGAGAGTTCAGCCTGCGGAGCTGTAGAGCACCGTAGGGGCTTCGTGGACCTGTAGACCCTGAAGGATAAGAAGTACGGAATCTCCATACTCGTCTAGTGCTAGGCCCCTTGGTTGAGAAGTTGAGGGTGTTAGGTAGGAAGTGTTGGGAAGATAGGTACCTCGTGAAGCTGGGAACAAAACAACTGCGAATCCTCATTGCCGGACAGGAACCACATGAGCCTGCGTACTGTAGCATGCCAAGAAAGAAACAACTACGACATCCAGCATCCCAAGTGTGTGGCAACTTAGAGCGTGAAAGGAAGGCCTGTGTTCGCCGTTGGGTGTACACTTGTTTCGGGTCGAACGGGTTCATCTATCGGTTGGTTGCAGAAAGGGCCTGACACCAGCATGATAGTTCCAAAACTCGGTCTTGCCGACAACTGAGGTTCGCGCCGAAGAGGCCACGCTTGAGGTAGCCTCAGATCCAACCAGCTTTGGTGTGAGCGAACCAGCTGAGGTGTGGGCTGAAGGAAATGGGTGAGATGGCTTGGGGCCAGGCAGGAATGTTAGACTGGAGGGAGCCAGGACTTCTGGTTTCATGTCCTCTGAGTAGGGTTGGAAGTTGGAAATGCATTGAAGAACTGGGGACTTGCAGTCAAACTCTGCATCCCATTGAACCAGCTGTGAAGGATGGGGTATTCAAACGCTAAAAGGCAATGGTCAGCAACCTGGGCTTGGGATCGCAATCCAGGCAGCCCCGACTAAACCAACCGAGTCCCCCCCAAAACCCGACACCCCCAATCCCCAATAGGGCCCCCCGCCTGGGGGCGCCTTTCCGGCGTCCGGGCCGAAAACCCCGCATGGGTTTGGACGAAGCTTCCTCGGGTCTTTCGAACGGTTTCGGGTGTTTTCAGACCTTTCAGGGGCTCTAAGATGTGGAAGATGAAGCCATTAAGCTGAAGCCCACATTCTTGGCATTGCCATAAACCAATGCATTAGATGTCATTCACCTTCATTCGTGAGAATGCTCAAAACGAGTCGCCACTTGCCAAGAGGGTTTCAGGAGAATCTCGGGCTTCGAAAGAGGGCGCTGCAAAGAAGCTGCGAAGCTGCGTGCCCCTGAGGCGGTCGCTTCCGCTTCGCGTCAGGTCTGGACGGAAGGTGCACTCTCCTCGGCGCTTCGAACATGATCGAGGCTCAAATCTGCCCAAAAAATGAGGCAAGCTGCGACGAGGCTTCCCTGTCTCCTTCAACAAGCCCTTAGCCCATGAAATCCCCTCCTCTCCACACCTCAAGGCGCCGGCTCTCTGCAGCACTTTGCCGTTCGGCCGACCACGCTGCCAGCCGCTCGCAGACACGCCGCCTGAGACTCCAGAGAGCCTAAGAGCCTGGAGGTTTGAGGCCTCGGGACTCGGTGAGGCTCCAGGATCTTTGTGCTGGTTTCGATCAGCGGTTCCTGAGGGCTGGCAGCAATTCACGTTTTGGAAGTTCCGCTGTCCCGCGCAAGGGCTTGACATGCCAATCGGAAAGTCAAAATCACATTTCGAAACTTTCCCGGCCGGGCCTAGACTCTCGAAATCTCGCTGAATCGTGCTGGGAGCGGCTTATCCCTGTGTCCAACTTTCGTTGCATCCAACAGGCGAGGGCTCTGGCTGGGGATAAAGTATTTGGAGGCTTCCAGGTAGAGGGCCTTTAAGAGCAAAACATGTGAGGTAGACTTCTCCACCACTTGGGTTCGTGTCCAAAGGAACTTACTGCACCCTCTCGCTCTCTGCCGGCTCCGAAGAAACATCCATCTTGTCCATAAGTCCATATTTGCACTCAACATCCAGGGCAAAGGAAGTCAAGCTTAGGATGGAGGGTGCTTCACAGTTTCACAGGCTATGTCGCGCCGCCGGCAACACAGAGGTAACAAGCATCTATAAGTCGAGGATGGTGACATACGGCAGCAAGACAAGGTCTACAGACTGGTCAATAGAAGGTACCAAATGATTGATGGGTGAATGAGGCGAAGATTACAGCCTCGCAGCTCGCAGCTGCAGAATGCCGCCATTAGAACTCAAGCGATGTAGGAAGCCACGAGATTCTCACGGGAGACGCATGTTATCACTAGTGGCGATCTGCGGGTGAACAGCGCCAGCAGCAGCTTCCAATTCTTTGTCAGGTTGCGCATGCGGCACCCGCATGACGCCTCTTTAGGAAAACGCCGAGGAAAGAATTAATGCGTCAAATCGAAGAAGCCGAAGAAAGGCCTGACCCACCGACCTGCTACCCAAATCCTTTGATGTGCGTGCAGTGCACGTCTCCAGTGTGTTTCTCCTTGACACGCTGCTAAAAAAACTGGGGAATTTGCCGAGAGTCGGCCTGCCGCGTGGCCACGAAATTCAAGAGTCTGAGCCAATTCCCATGTTGCAACACAAATCGGAAGCAAAACCGAAACGGTCTGTAATTCTCTTTGGGACTTTCCGGTGCTTGTTTTTTGTTTTTTCCCCGTTTGCACTTGCGCCTACTTTCACCAACGTAAAACGAATGGCTCATTCCGAATTACAAACGTGAACTTGCCTCATTCCTGGACACACTACACAAACAGACCGGTCCAGGTTAAATCATCTTGCAACTTCACACCTGCTTTGTGCTGAGGACCGAGGGCTGAAGCAGCTTAGGGTACAGGCACCGGCACGCCACCCTTTTATTGTGGAGCCACAAAGCGCATGCTCTGCCCAAGAGCTCAACTCCATTCTCAAGGCCCCGAAGCCCTCCGAAATTCAGCTCAGAAGTCAACCTTGAACCCTAAACTGCCCTAAACCCCGAATCCCCAAACTCAGAATTCCCAAATGCCTCCAAAACCCGCTGGGCTCCCCAGGCCCGGGAGAACAAGGCCGAGCGAGTCGCTCTACGAGGGCCTTTGCGGTGCTTTTGAGACTTTCTCAGGGTTCGGATCAGGGCCCAAAGAATTCAGGGATCGGGCTTGGGGTTTAGGGCTTCTGAGCCGCTTCTGTCGGAGTTTCATGTTGCGTTGCGCAGACTTCTGGGATGCTGTGGGGATCTTGGGGGCTGCTCTGCACTGAGGACCGTAGGCTTCACCTTCCTGGGTTCTGCAGAGGCGCCGCCAGCAGAGGGCGAAACACTTGCCGACACACGACTGGAACACACGATCAGATGCCTCGCTGCGCAAGACTCGATGGGACTGCTAGTATGGGATAGAGCCAGAAGAAGCAGCTTAGAACGCAGCTGAGGCCCCTAGTTAGATGCAAAACTCGCAAGACCTCGACATCGAGCCATGTCCTCAAGGGCGGCACTTCCTGTGCCCGGGGAGGAAGGCCTGAGAAACGCCAAAAAATCAAGATGAAGGATGCGAGGCTTTCAGGCGTCTGTGGGAAAGACAGTGCCTAAGTAAGTCAAGGCTTAGGGCTTAGAGCAGACAGCAACGCTCCGGAGCCTGTCGCGCCACTGTGATGCCAAAGTTGTATGAAACTACTGGTGCCACCTCTATACGACAGCTCGAGCGAACCTCAGGAAACCGCAGCAGCTCCCATCGGACGGACTCTTCTTTGTTGGCAACCCTTCAGGCAGTCAAGGCAAAAGCTGCAAGCGCAGTTCGCTTGCGGCCATGCCGACACTTCTTTTCCAAGCATGACAGGGGTCCCCGGCTTTTGGAGGGCCTAGGGATTCGGGGTATTCGGGGGGGCACCTAAGGGGGGACCCTCAAGTCAAACGGTTCAGGGGCTGCAGACTGGTGGTTTAGCCGTAGGGACCGAAGCATTGGGGTCACACTGGGTTTCATGTGCGTACAGAAGCTCCGTTGCCTTTGACAGAGCCATAAAGAAATACATGAACTACACGCACAGAAGGCTCAGAGTTTCAAGCCTTCAAGCCCAATGCTTTGGCACAGTCTGCCCAAATGTCCTCCGTCTTACGCGTGGGTCCCAGATTGGAATCCACCTGCGCAACCCGGCACCCTGAGCGGGACTTGTAATGCCCAAGCACAGGCACTGTCTCAGCATGGTAGGCAGCAAGCCTCTTGGGAAGAGCGTCCTTGTTGTCGTCTGGACGTTGGGTCAAAGCTTCTCCCGTCTGATCGTCCCGCATATTCTCTGGCGTTGGCTCGCTCTTGCCATCGAAGGACTTCGGGGGATTGTACTTTGTGTGGTATGACCGGCCAGATGCCTTGTGAATCCACCGCCCTCCGATCCTCTCAATCAACACTTCATCTGGGACACTAAGCTCCAAGACGGTCTTCACTTCCTCACCGGTGGCTGCCAGCATCTCGTCCAAGGCAAGCGCTTGGGCGGTGGTGCGGGGAAAACCATCCAAGATGAAACCCTTGAGGCAGTCCGCGGCCTTCACCCTCTCCCTGATGATGCCGATCACGATGTCGTCGCTCACAAGCTGCCTTGGCACATCTGCGGAAAGCTACGTCTTATGCATCTTGTTCCGGAGCTTTTTTGCAAGGGTCAGCATTCGATTTAGCCATGTAGCCTCCGTGCGGTCTGTGGCAAAGCGGGTGGATGACATGTTTGGGTTTTTTATTGTGTGGGGGGGGGGTCCGGGAGAGGCATATTTTTGCATTTTAGAGTTTTCGGTTCTTGGGTGTTTACAGGATACCTCCAATTTTTCTCTACATGTTCATGGGAAAGCCAGTATTCTTCCGTCTTTGAATAGGAAAGACTGTCTTTCTTGACGTTGAACCTTGTTTTCTGAAAAACAGCCTCCATGTCTCGATAGGTGCTCTTTCTTTTGCAGCGAAGAGCCTCTATATCGTAATCGGAAAGCTTCAAGAAACACGCCTGTTTGGTCTTCCGCTGTTTTGGGGTGCCACCTCCCCCGCAGCCAGGGTTAAAGCCGCAACCTACCGTGTTTTTGCTTTTCTGGCTTCTTTGTTTTTTGTGTTTCGGGATCAGTTGGGACGAGCTGTGGCCTTTGCAGCTTGAGAGAACACGAGACAAATCAGGCTGCCAGGCTGCCCCTGTGCCATCACCGACTTGGCCCTCAAGCCAATCTCCGAACCGGAGTCCACCGCTTCGCGCAGCATGTCTCCGGTTGAGAGCTGCGGAATTCCGAGTGCTGCCGTTATGCGGCCCCCATGCGTGCCCTTCCCTGCTGCCGGCGGGCCAAACATCAGGATGATCTGCTCACGCTTCAAGCCCAATGCTTTGGCACAGTCTGCCCAGATGTCCTCCGTCTTACGCATGGGGCCCAGATTGGAATCCACCTGCGCAACCCGGCACCCTGGGCGGGACTTGTAATGCCCAAGCACAGGCACTGTCTCAGCATGGTAGGCAGCAAGCCTCTTGGGAAGAGCGTCCTTGTTGTCGTCTGGGCGTTGGGTCAAAGCTTCTCCGGTCTGATCGTCCCGCATATTCTCTGGCGTTGGCTCGCTCTTGCCATCGAAGGACTTCGGGGGATTGTACTTTGTGTGGTATGACCGGCCAGATGCCTTGTGAATCCACCGCCCTCCGATCCTCTCAATCAACACTTCATCTGGGACACTAAGCTCCAAGACGGTCTTCACTTCCTCACCGGTGGCTGTCAGCATCTCGTCCAAGGCAAGCGCTTGGGCGGTGGTGCGGGGAAAACCATCCAAGATGAAACCCTTGAGGCAGTCCGCGGCCTTCACCCTCTCCCTGATGATGCCAATCACGATGTCGTCGCTCACAAGCTGCCTTGGCAACCGCTAGCACAAGAGTTCAACTGCCCACCCCCCAAAGCAGGTGGATAACACGTTTTGGATTTTCTGGGTTTTTGGGAGGAGGGGGGGAGGGAGAGGCTCTTTTTTGTAGTTTCTATTTTCTATTTTTTGTGGCTTTATTGATGGATTTTACAGGCAACCTCGAATATTCTCTACATGTTCATGGGAAAGCCTCTATTTCCTCTGTCGTTGAATAGGAAAGGCTGTCTTTCTCTGCGTTGAACTTTGCTTTGTGAAGAACAACCTCCATGTCTCAATAGGTGCTCTTCTTTTCGCTGGGTGCCTCCTCCCGAGCCAGCGTCAAAGCCTCAACCCGGGACCCTCGCTTCTCTCTCTCTCTCTCTCTCTCTTTTGTGTTTCGGGCTCAGTTGGGACGAGCTGTGGCCTTTTCAGCTTGCCAAATCTCATGAACTTCTCAACTGGGCTCAGCTGGACTGAACATGTACAATGTACAAGATGCCAGCGACTTGTTAAGACGGAGGGAGCGAAAGGGAGAGAGAACACAAGACAAATCAGGCTGCCAGGCTGCCCCTGTGCCATCACCGACTTGGCCCTCAAGCCAATCTCCGAACCGGAGTCCACCGCTTCGCGCAGCATGTCTCCGGTTGAGAGCTGCGGAATTCCGAGTGCTGCCGTTATGCGGCCCCCATGCGTGCCCTTCCCTGCCGCCGGCGGGCCAAACATCAGGATGATCTGCTCACGCTTCAAGCCCAATGCTTTAGCACAGTCTGCCCAAATGTCCTCCGTCTTACGCGTGGGGCCCAGATTGGAATCCACCTGCGCAACGCGGCACCCTGAGCGGGACTTGTAATGCCCAAGCACAGGCACTGTCTCAGCATGGTAGGCAGCAAGCCTCTTGGGAAGAGCGTCCTTGTTGTCGTCTGGACGTTGGGTCAAAGCTTCGCCGGTCTGATCGTCCCGCATATTCTCTGGCGTTGGCTCGCTCTTGCCATCGAAGGACTTCGGGGGATTGTACTTTGTGTGGTATGACCGGCCAGATGCCTTGTGAATCCACCGCCCTCCGATCCTCTCAATCAACACTTCATCTGGCACACTAAGCTCCAAGACGGTCTTCACTTCCTCACCGGTGGCTGCAAGCATCTCGTCCAAGGCAAGCGCTTGGGCAGTGGTGCGGGGAAAACCATCCAAGATGAAACCCTTGAGGCAGTCCGCGGCCTTCACCCTCTCCCTGATGATGCCGATCACGATGTCGTCGCTCACAAGCTGCCTTGGCAGGATTTCAACACGTTCAGAGTAGGAGAGCCGAGCTAACTTAACTTGACCATGCGCTGCTTCCAAGCCGCCCCTGTGCCATCACCGACTTGGCCCTCAAGCCAATCTCCGAACCAGAGTCCACAGCTTCGCGCAGCATGTCCCCAGTTGAGAGCTGCGGAATTCCGAGTGCTGTGGTTATGCGGCCCCCATGTGTGCCCTTCCCTGCCGCCGGCGGGCCAAACATCAGGATGACATTTCTCGCCTTGCAGCCTTACAATGCGCAGCCGGACAACTACCTAGACAGCAGAACAAGGTGGATGGCACAGGCTAAGGCAGCACGCATCGGAAATACACCAGAAAATAGCCGGCTCGTGACTCTACGACCTTCTGGGGCTGGGGTTAGGACATTTTCATCCCCGAGTTGCGCTCTCGCCGCTCCCTCGCAGAGGCCCCCGGTGCACACTCCGTACTCAAATCGTGCTTTGGCCTGGGTCCCGTGCATTCAGGCTCGGAATGTTCCGTGTCGCGAAGCCGCACGCTTGCTTGCATTTTGGGGCTCCACGCTAAGGGAGACGAGGGCACTTGAAGGGCGCGGCCCTGCTCAGAGGTTTTCCAACACTTCCCTCTGAGCACTCTTTCCAGAGCCCTTCGGGAGAACTTCAGGACACCATTTGCAGCACATGCGGATCCACTTAGAACGGACGCATGAAGCCAACACAGGCCAACCTGTCCGAATTGGCGTCCTTCGTGAGGTCGGACCCCGTCTTTGGGTTTAGCGGTTGCCGCTGGATTTTTTGCGCGGAAGAGACAAGTAAAACAAACAAAGACAAAGCACAAGCTAAATCGCAATCACAGGCACAAAGCCAAAAACAACAATGAAGAGCAAACAACGAAAAGTGAGAAGCCGAAGACAACATCAAAAAACAAAAGGAACACACACACACACACACAAAAACACAAAAAGCAAGAGACAAGTCAAATGCCAACGCAAACAAAAGCAACAGACGAAAATCGCAGATCGGAAGCAACATGCAAAGCAGAAACAGGGAAAAGCAAACAACATAAAGTCTGAAGTCCAACGACTATGAAGAGCAGTGCAAGAAACAGGCACATATACAAAATAAGGCAGGAAGCAGCAACAAGCAAGAGCAGAAGATCAGAGCAAACACAGCAAACCGAACCTCAGGCCCTTTACGGGAGTTGTAGACTCTCAAGTCCCATCTGTGACTTCGTGGGCCAAGAGGCCGAATGTCCAGCGCAGGAAGTTGGCGTGGTGCACTGTGCCTGCATGTAGGCAAAGTGGGGTAAGAATGCCGGAGTTCAGCTGGGCCCAATTTAGGGATGATGTCTGTGCCAGAACCAAACATTCGAGGGGTATTGAACTTGCAGGGGCGCTCAAGTTGCGGACAGGCGGCCAGGGCCGAACTTTCCAAGTACCGCAGCCCTGTCCTCCGCTCTTGTGCCGTGACTTGAAGGGTGTCTAGTGTACCCTGAAAGTCTGAAACCCTAAAGCCAAAAGCCTAGAAAGCTGAGAGCAAACGAACATCAATGCAGCTGCAAAAGTAGGAGTTGCCTAGGGCCTAAGGCCTGAAGCCCTAGAAGCTCAAGCCCGAAAACTGAGGCCCTGAAGCCTCAACCCTAAATCCAAAATCACAAACACACACGAAAAGCGGAATGTTAAGCCCCCAAACACCATGAGCCTTATGACCTTAAGCCGCAAGTCGAGCGCTTGTTTTCCGACGAGGACAACGGTATTGCGGGGCGGGAGGGGGAGGGCAAAGCCTTCCTGGTTCAGTGTCGATGGCAGGCATGGACCCGCGCCACCACGTGTACCCTATGTCAGTGTTCCAACCAAGTTTCTGCCTCCCGATGGCCCTCATTCATTAGCCCTCATTGGAGAAGATCCGGCTTTTCAAAAAAGAGCCAGGGGAAACAGCCAAAAGGTCACCTCCTTCTTCCGTTTTCAACATGTCAACAAGTTTTCTTTCGTCTCCTCGTCCCTCAACATCTATTAACTTCCAGAAAGCCCTGTGCATGGTCCTCCGGTGGCATGCCCAGGTGCCCAAGCAGGGCGCCAAGAGCCTCCTGCAGTTTAGGGTTTTAGGGTTTAGGGCGTTAAGATGGGTTTAAGTCTCAAGTTCGCTGTCATGGGTTTGGGCTTAGGCCTTGGGTGTTTAATTTAGGTGTTGCGAAGGGCTGAATTCCACGGGCTGCCTTGCTGATGCTTGATGACACGTGATAGCTTATAACGCTTCTGTGGCTCCATTCCTCTCATTTAAGCAGTCTTAACGCGTTTTGTATGGGGCCTCGACAACATGCCACTTTGGGTCAAAGACTATGTGCGGCTCTCCGCAGTGGCAGCCCGTTCGGTGTGCATGGCGTGCCGTCGTCGCCATCCTCGAGCTGTTGTCCTTTGTGGATCCTCAAAAGGCTAACCCTCTCGGTGGACGTCCGTGTCATCGTCGCCAGGCTTGACAGTGTCGTCGTTTTCGTTTCTAGATCGCATGTCAAACAACAGCCCTCTACGCTTCTTCTCCGCGTGCCAGAAAGCGCCAATGGTCCGAGGGATTGGCGAGGGTTGGTGTCGCCATGTTCGTAACTGTCGTCGTTGTGGAGATCTGCTTCATGCTCGCATTTTTAACAGGTCAACACGCACAGGGGTCGGGAATCTCGAAATCGACTTTTGTAGCATGAAGGTCGCAGCGTGCGGAGGACGTCCGGAGGCTGTGTCTTTCTTAAAATAAGGACGAGAGATAGGCAGAGGTTCACGAGGTCGGCGCCCGGATCTTACATCCTGGCGTGGCTGACCATGAGGATGAGGAGGATGTGGTGCTGATGATGATGATGATGATGTACTGCTGACGACGGACTTCCGCTGCTTAAAACTCATGCAGTCGCACGCTCGAAGGACACATGCAGCAGGGTGCACCAGTGAGCTTGGGTTTCGAAACAGCTTTGGCAGCCGCAACTCCATGTCCCCGTTCCTTTTTCGCAAGCCAGAAACTCTACAACTCATACCATCCTCAACGCCCGAAAGTCCCTTCGTGCCGGAGGGCCTGAGGCATCGAACGGTTGCCAACATGGCGCTCGAAGAGCTCCTGAGGCTTAGGCATTGGTTCTCACAACATTGGCACATACGTTTTGGACGTAAGTGCAGCATTCCATGGGGTGAAGGAGCTTTGGGATCCTGATTCGCAGTATCAAGCTTAAAGATTTAGCCAGGATCAAGGGGTTATGGCTGAAGTACCGGGGCTTACTTGTCAAGGAGAGCTACGGCTGGGCCGCAAAGGCTGGAGGGCTCAGCGTGCGACGAAGGGGTGTATTCATGGGTGCATAGGCAGCCGTTCGTGGGATGATGCCGGTAGCTTTCGGGTAGCCAAACTCCACCCCCTCCCCAAACAGCGAACATCAAACCATAGGTTGAAATCGGTTAAACCCTGATGCTCCACAAAAAACGCCCACTCCCCAAACTTTGAAGCCAAGGCCAAGGTGCCAGTAAGGTTTGCAGGGCTGGATGGTCCATGGCGTCAGCAGCAAGAGCTAAGAATGTTCTCTACACTGTCTGGTCCAGAAACATTCTGATCAGAAACCCTTGGATACTCTTCGTGTGTATACGGCCGTGCTTGTTCTTCTGCTTTCGGCATCAGGGGTGATTTTGAGCCCACACCTCAAGCCGGGGAGCATAGCATGATACGACGGGTGCTGCAAACTGCAGCTTCGGATTCAGGTTGGCTATCCAGCTGCAAGCACCACTAAGGAGCAAACTTTTGCCGGGCAGGCGTTGAATTGATATGGAGATGCACTTTGCTTTGTGGGTGTGAGGGGAGGGGCTGCTGGTCACAAGCTCGGGTTTAAGCACAGAAGTATGATGAACTTTCAAGGTACCCTGCAGTCCAAAGTCTGCTGTTGATTCGGGGTCGAAAAGTTTAAGAGCATCCCTGCGCACTTGTTCCTGATGGGTCCTTGCACTGTTGAGCCGGGCTTCGGTGGCGGTCCCGAATATCCTGGCAGTCCGACATCACCTTCCTCTGCGGCCGAATGCTGGACGACGGTACGCACAGGCCCGCGCAGACCCTTGTGCCAGGCGGCGCATGACCTGCCTGGTTTGCGTTCGGGTCGGTCTCGCCTCGCCGCCTCGCCAAATGCTGAACCCTACTGACTACTGCCCCGAGTAAGCCCCAAGAACCTTCTGCGTACCAGATACTGAAGCACGGAATCTCGCATCGTAGAAGGAGGGTTCATGGCAGAAGTGTTTGCCAATAGTATCAGATCGAAGCCCCAGCTTGTTTTTTTACTAGGTTTTCCAAGCGTTTCGTTTTCACAGTTCTGACTTCTCATGTTGGCTAGCACTTGCGTTGCAAACGCTTTTGTTCAGAAACCATGGCAAGCCTTCCCCGGAACATGGAGCCCCTGCCGCCGTCACGGCCGATGCAATCAGGGGTTCAGTTCAGGCAGGCGAAATCTACCATCACGTAGGCCAACAACGATTGGACCACTTGCTCTCGGATCTCCCCCCTTCGCGCGTTGACATTCTTAACATGTCATGTGCATCAGTTCATCTTTGTTATGTAGCTTCATTTTTCCTGTGAATCCCACAGCAATGAGGTTGCAGGTCGGTGCAGACGGTCGTACTACCACGGTCTACGCCAAGAAAAAGGTAGTCATGGCGACGGTCGTGGTAGCAGTCGATGGGCTTCAAGGTTTCTAGCGTGCACGTGTTGCCTGAGGAACGAGGACGATGATGGCCTGGAGAGTCTCCGCCTCCCACTTCAGCTGAACAAAGGAGGACAAACACCCAAAGCTCCAAGCAACATCAACCTACAAATCCCAGAGCACCAATCAGATAAGCCGACCAGCCTCGTGAGCCTCTGCCGGGAGTGGCGTGGCATCTTGTGTCGTGCCTTCACGGCAGTCGCTGCACAAAAACGCTGCACAAATGCTGCACCCCTGGACTCTTTCCCAAGCCTATTGAAGTAACTGAAGGCGTAGGGATATGCAGGGGTGCCATTGGGCTTATAGCCCTTTCCTTTTCGAGGTCCAGGTCCCGTGTAACAATGGTGGACGCCAACAAAAACTTCTAAATTTAAAGCGGTGGAGAAGGAAGCCTGTTCTTGCACAACCCAAAATGCGAAATCGCAAGGAAATGTGCAGCAGACC